TAAATTAGGCGAAAATAAATTAATTGTTATCCTTGTGTAGGAATCGATGCATGGATTTCTCATTTCACACAATAATCATAATAATAAGTTTTCTCTCCTTTTTCTCTCTTTCCAAACCTTGAAATTTCAACAGACATTTACAGACAGTCTTTCAATTTATTTGTTTTGCATTTCGCTTAAAATACATAGAAATCTATTGAATAAGATTTAATGCTTTATAAATTGTATACAATTGCATAAAATACATATATGTACATAATATTATTTATTATATGTTTACTATTTTGCACAATACTGACGACAATTAAACTCAACTCGCATTTAAATATACTTTTATTTTACTTTTGCATCCGATTTACACGCCTTTTGTATTAAGCAATTTATATGCAGAATAACTACTGTTTAACACATGCATTGTGTTTATAGCAAATATAACTTTAATTTTTCCCAAGCATTTCATACGTTATTATGTATGTTATTAACGAATATAACAATACCCATGAATTGACAATTTCATTGATTGTTTCCAAAAATATAAATACCATGAATGAAAAATTGTCTTTTTATGTCATTACTTCCGTATGCGTTTTTCATTCATTTAGTTTTTATCATTATATTTATGCCATATTTCATAAATTATACGCTAATTAATTGCCATAATTTATTAATCTCACATATAATTGATTGCAATTTGCCATTGAAATGCATTTGCATTTAAATTATATTAACATTGGGCAAAGATTTTTGTATAAAATTTCTTTTTAATGCATATCTTATTAAATGGTATAAAATAATTATGATTTATAATTTTAGTTTATTAATAATTTCTATAAACCAATGAAATATAAATTTCCAAAAGAATTTCTAAATATACGAAAAATATTTGACAGAATTATTGTCCGATTATGTCATGAGATATACTTAGCAAAGGTGTAGGCAATCACTCATATTGTTAATTAGAGTCCTGTTTATTATGTAAAAATACTTTTTAGTTTAAATACATTTAAAAAGGTAATTATAATGCTCTCCACAAAAACAGGGCTCTTAAATACAAATGAAGGCTAAAACGGCTGAGTATTTAATAAATGCTATCAATAATATGATAGCGTTGTTTGCCTTTAAGGACTATCGGCTTAAATACCTGACAATACAAAAGCGATTTTCACTACTTATCTGTCATAAAATATGAAATTTAATTTATGTTTAGCTGTGAGAGAGCGTCAGCACTGCTCTATCATATAAAATGTTTTTGATTTTTTTGCTGTCCGTTTGTATTGAATCTCATATTCCGTAATATTATACTCCATATAAAGGAGAGAGGAGTCAGAGAGGGATAAATATTTTTTGTTCAGAGAATATTAACACCTGTCCTCTCGAATCGTTCCCTCGAATAGTCGTATGAATGTATAAATGCATTCATTTTTTATTAAAGGAGGAGAGAGTCAGAAAGAAAGAAAGGAGAGAGAGAAAGAGAGAGAGAGAGAGAGAGAGAGAGAGAGAGAGAGAGAGAGACGGATAGGTAGGCGACAGAATACCCAAAGTGTTGCCCAGAATTATAGCTAATAATAAATTCAATTCATTTGCTTTTAAACACTAGATTTATGGGCAAAGAAGTAAATTCTCCACCTTTTAAATCACGTCTCCTTTTTTGTTGTTTAGTTTTGTTGCTAAAAATGATTTTTATTTCTAATTTTGTGGTTCTGTTTTTATCTCCTTTTAGTCTGATATCTGTCATCAAAGTGTCTACGAATTGGTGCACTCGGAGGACAGGGAAGAGCTTCAAAGACATTTGATGTGGAACTCACACCTCCCTAATGATCGATCCTCTCTATCGCTTCAAGAAGTTTTATCACAAGGTTTTTGTCACTTTCTATAAAAAATCAAATATTTTATAATTCTTATAAATAATAAGTTTTCTCTTGAAAAATAAATTATCGCAAAATAAAACAACAAAAATATTAATGCATTTCATTTCCAATTTTTACAGACAATTGCCAATTATTAGAAAGAAATTTTACTGTTAGATTCAGATGCCTATTAGATAATACATCGGGTTTTTTGGTAAGTAATTTACAACTTTAGTTTTTATTTTATTTTTAGTGTTAAAACATTATATCTTTATAAAAAATAATTGCTTTTCGCGCAAAGAATTTGTTAATTCAAAGGAGGAAAAGTAGTGAATATGTATTTTTCTCTGAATGCAAATCAATGGCTAAATAAAATGCAAACTAATGAATAAAATAGAAGTTATAGTTGTTTGCAATATATGAAAGTTTAGACACAATCTGTTCATTCATTTTTTCTCTCTTTCCCTCTCTTTTGATATCAATCGATAATTGGGAGGAAACATACCTTTTATGATCAAAATGAATGAAAAAATACACATAAGGTTTTGAATACAACAGTATATTAGTGTGCAATGACTGCATCGGCGAAATAAACTTTCTATGGATAACATCACTACTAATGGGAGATATATGTTGTGACCAAACCTCTCAATATCTCTATCAACCAAAAAACATCCACAATATCACAGTCTCTCTGTCTATCTCTATCTCTCTCTCCCCTGTCTAGTGATGATGTGATTTGTGTAACAAAATATAACTTTATTATCGATTCTACAAAACCCAATAATTAGAGTAGTTTTTTGAAGGACTTAATCACTAATTAAACGTTTGTATTTTAATTGAATTTTCATATATGAACCAAAATGTGTATACAATGAGAGGAGAGGATAGCGTATACATACAGGCATAGGAAAAGTGTAAATTAGATTCACATATAAAATGAGATGTTGGGAAAAAAGGGGCGGTTTATCCGATCGGAGCAACATTTTTGGGCAACAAAAAGATAAACTCACAGTAAATGAGTGATAATCGAGAGAAATAAGAAATATTCTCCAAATAAATCATTTGCTTTTTTCTTCTTTATAGTTATAGTGAGTATATCTTTATTCGGAGTTTAGAGAGACTTATAAATCAATTTTATTGGCGTTAATTGAGACTTAGGTAATGACATCGCAATTCATTAGTCTCTATACTCATTGTGGTTATGATTAACCATAGAGAGAGAGAGAGAGAGAGAGAGAGAGAGAGCCATTCCCTCTGTAAATGTTTATTAAAAACATTAAAATCGATGTTTTATTTAGATATTATATCATATGTTTTACTGTGGATATTAAATGTTTTAATATAACTTTATTATCGATTCTACAAAACCCAATAATTAGAGTAGTTTTTTGAAGGACTTAATCACTAATTAAACGTTTGTATTTTAATTGAATTTTCATATATGAACCAAAATGTGTATACAATGAGAAAAGAGGATATTTTCCCAACATACAGGCATAGGAAAAGTGTAAATTAGATTCACATATAAAATGAGATGTTGGGAAAAAAGGGGCGGTTTATGCGATCGGAGCAACATTTTTGGGCAACAAAAAGATAAACTCACAGTAAATGAGTGATAATCGAGTGAAATAAGAAATATTCTTCAAATAAATCATTTGCTTTTTTCTTTTTTATAGTTATAGTGAGTATATCTTTATTCGGAGTTTAGAGAGACTTATAAATCAGTTTTATTGGCGTTAATTGAGACTTAGGTAATGACATCGCAATTCATTAGTCTCTATACTCATTGTGGTTATGATTAACCATAAGAGAGAGAGAGAGAGAGAGAGAGAGAGAGAGCCATTCCCTCTGTAAATGTTTATTAAAAACATTAAAATCGATGTTTTATTTAGATATTATATCATATGTTTTACTGTGGATATTAAATGTTTTAATTAAAAATTATAATAATTATTTGAAAAGTTGGTCACGATTTCAGTGCCTTCGCAGAGAAAAAAGTCAATGTTTTCTAATTGATGGGCAATTTATAACCAAAAATATTCTGTTTTTAATAATTTTATCACTTTTTATCTTCAAAATCGCAAAACTATTTTCACTCATTAATACATTAATAGACACACATAGAGAGTGAGTGAATCCACTCCCCATACAAACAGCACAGGTATGCAAAGAGGAGCTCATAATTTGCCGAACATTTTAATTATTAGCGATTTTCTTCTTTAATGAAATTTTTTTATTACCTCTAAAAACAAGAGAAGCGCAAAACTGAGGGAAAATTGTTTAACCAAAAAATCCAGAGTTAAACTCTTTAACGAAAGGAAGTCTCCCTGTATTTCATTATTATTAAGTTATCTGTGGTTTGCATTGAAAATCACATACACTTTCCACTGGCAATAGCGACACACAAAACACTCATTGTTTGCATAAATTAATTAAACAATTTTCGTAGCCTTTGATTAATGATATTCTTAGCGTATTCTATATAAAGCCATTAGAAATGTGATTAATTGTATTAAAAAACACATGCATATGAATGTCTATATAAATATATGATATGATATTCCAGAGGTTAGACATAAGGGGAAGAATAAAAGTACTTCACGGGCAGAACATGAAGAGCGAAGAGCCCCCTCTGGCACTGTTCGCTGTGTGCACTCCATTCGGTCCGCCGTCTCTCTTAGAAATGCCACAAAAGGACTCTATGTTTAAAAGCAAACACAAGTTAGACCTTTCGTTGGTGTCGATGGACCAAAGGGGACGACAACTGTTGGGCTACACCGACAACGAACTGTCCAATAAGGGTGGTTATGATCTAGTCCATTATGATGACCTTGCTTATGTGGCCAGTGCTCATCAAGAATGTGAGTATTGATGAGATTAAATGTTGACATTTTTATATTGTATTAAATGCCAACTCTGAATGTGTTTTGTTTGTTTGCATTTCAGTACTAAAAACAGGAGCTTCAGGACTGATAGCCTACCGTCTGGTGACCAAAGATACGAAGTGGCAGTGGTTGCAGACCAGCGCCCGATTAGTCTATAAAAATAGCAAACCTGACTTCATATTATGCACTCATCGGCCCCTCATGTAAGTCAACGCATAATATTTAATGACATGTTTTCTGTTAATAGCGTTTCAATCAATCATTTTATTCAAATCGTATATCATTTGCATAATAGGGAAGAGGAGGGAAGGGATCTGTTAGGGAAGCGAACCATGGATTTCAAAGTGACATATCTGGACGGAGGTCTGGGAGCGATGACGGATCGGTCGGGCTTTCTATCGGACAGCGATTTCGTGCTCCGCTGTCAACGAAGTCGTCGATACAAATCTCAAGTCAAAGATGTGGTGACGACGACGCCGTCGACGACAAACTGTCGGACGTCAGGCAAACGCAAGTCCGCCGGAGGCGTCGATCCGCACCCGTACTCAGCCTTTGACGAGAGCGCCGCCAGTGTTAACGCCGCGGCCGTAGCGGCCAATCACGCGGCGGCCGTCAACGCCAGCACCGGCTACCAGAACGCCGGTATGTATGCCTATGCGGACAATATGAACGGTCTGTCGACATACGCGGCCGCCGTCTCGGCAGCGGCTATGCCTCAGAATCTGTTCAGCGCTGCCATTGATCACAATTCGCGGCCATTTCTGGCGCCCGAAAACTTTCTCCATTACTCTCGTCACGCGTTGGGACCGTATTATCCCGACTATCATCCGGCGGCTCAATACCCGACCAACGGTTTCCTCGACCACATGAGTACCAGCCGTACGGCTCATTGTTTTCCCGGCGCTTACGCTCCGGACGCCAACAGTATTGTGAAGGAAAACTCGGATAAGTTGTACGGCGGACACAATGGCTGCCAAATGGGCGCTGAGACCAAGTTCTCGATGAGTGAATCAGTGAACACAAACGGCCGATCAGTGCCCAAGACTTCCTGTTGTGACAGTTATATGAGTAGTGCCACCACTCCATGCAGTCTAATGAGCGCCTCCACAACCATTCATCAGCCATTATTAGCCGACACGAAGATCGCGGACATACCGTCGCACCGCAACTTTGGCCTCACGTCGGGCGCCAACGACTGTCTCAGTGTAATCAAACAGAAAGCAAGTCTTCCATTACTCACATCCAACTCGTCGTCTCATCACCGGAACCACAATCACGACCACAACCATCACTCGGTCGTCGAGCACCCGATCGCCACTTCATCGCAGTCGTCGTCGACCACATCGCAGTCCATTCTGTCGGCGTTCAGCCATACGGCCAATAATATGGACTCGCGGGGCAGTGTTCTCATGTGGGGCGCCGCCAATCATCACAACTTCGGCGCCCGAAATAAGTACGGCTTGAGTGCGGCCGACATTAAGCCCAACGATCGGGTGGTGAGCTGTAAGTGGAACGGAAGTATAGCCAATCCGAAGCCTCTGTCGCCGCACCCGTCGGTGGCTCACAGCCCGTCCTCAGGCAAAGTGCCAATGAGTTTGCAGCCAATCGCTGGCCACTACACCACACAGGGTTATCCCACGGCCGCCGACGTCTCGCCCATTGAGGTATTTACTTTCGTTATGACATTTCCTATGCATTTCGTTTTGTATGATTTAAAATTTGATGTCAATCTATACTATCCTTTGAGTTATTGTTTGATATTTTTCATATCATTTATGTTTGATTTGTTTGGCTTATGTTGTAATGATGTATATATTTTGTGTGATATGTATTTTGCGTAGGGCTGGCAGGTTGAGACAATAGGCCACTGGCGACCCCATCTCCGTAAGTGTCATAACAAATCATTTGCTATAATTACTTTACCATAGTTTCTAAGTCTACTATTTGATGATCAAATTTACCTTTTGTTTCCTATTCAATATTCATATATAAAATGCTCACTCTTTTGGTTATTCATTTGCTAATTATAATGGGTTCACAAATTAGATTTTAAAAACAACTTTTAATGTGATTAAAAAAATATTTTACTAACTTTTTACGCGATGTTACGCTTGACTGCTATCGTCTCACCACTCATTTGCATTGAAATCAATCACTTTTTTCACTCGTAATCTATATTTCCCTTTGTTTTTCATTATCACTTTTAATTAAACAAAAATGTTGGATCTTTTTGCATGTATTTTATTTATTAAACATATAAGTAAATATATTTTATATAAACATTTTAATGATTACATTTGTAATTAATAAGCATTCTGTATATGATAATCAATTATAGCAACCCTTGGCTAAACAGTTTGACTACTTCAGAGGAATGGCACTAATGGATGGCTGCAAAGAAATGAATCCATTGTTAACGATATCTGAGGTGACAAATACTCTTCTCAACCAATGATGCGCTAACCCTATCGATGCCACGACATTATCATCGCATCTGTGGTCACATCCCATCACTTATCCAATCATTTAATTACTTATTATAAATATTATACATAAGTTATAAATAAGTATATAAGTTTCATTGAATGTATAAAATAAAGCATGAAATTAATTGTAAATTAATTTAAATACCGGTTCCAAAGCTTTACAATCATATTATTTTGACAATAAGTTCTTTAAATAAATTAAATAATTTTAATTTAAATGAAATACAAAAATTAAATCATATTTTAGTGGTAATAGTGTTTGGCGTTTGAGGTGTGAATTGTTTGAAAAATAAATAATATTAAAATTGTGAATAAATTAAAAGTTAAATACCATTATATGAAAGATAAATATTACTTTTATTGAAAACAAGCGTCAAATCATTGCCACTACAAAAATACAGGGTTTCCATAAATGTAATGAATTATACAGTATATATAAATATATATTAAATTTAAACATGATTTTTGATTCCCAATAATTAGTTTTTGTTTTAATTAATTTCTTATGATATAAATAGAATCTTAATTTTAAATTATGTTTAAATAACACAAAAGATCAATAAAATAAAAGTTGAAAATAAAATAAAACAATTCTTTGGATTCAATATAAAAATATCTGAAGTTATAAATAATAACTTGAAGTAAAATTAAAGTAAGCCTTTCCATATGGTAAGTTTATTAATTATTTTCTTTAATTTTTAATATCTATAAAAATGATAAATTGTTTAATTTGTATCATGTGTATTGTGTCATAGAATCGTTCAAATAAAACTAGTTAACAATTAATGTATTTCTCAATTAACTTCCATTCAAGTCAATGCAATCAGTCTTTGTCTCATTTCAAATATTACCTCAAAATCTGAGTCTCGTTTTGCTTAAACTTTTCATTTTGTTTTGCCTTCCAATTCAATGCCATTCAAGCATTTGATACCTATTTTCAACATTAAATATCATTCAAAAAGTGTCTAACAATAGGACAGTTGTGGAAAAAATTGGTTGAATTTTATCGATACTTCATATAAAGTGCGCCGAAATAGTGGCACTGATAGGTCGAGTGATGGCCATTAAAATAAGTCTTACATTCAGACCAATTATATGGAAAGCTTTTTTGTTGTAAAGCAAAACACAAAACACACTCTCATTCTTACGTATGACTCCGAAATAGTGGCACTGATAGGTCGAGTGATGGCCATTAAAATAAGTCTTACATTCAGACCAATTATATGGAAAGCTTTTTTGTTGTAAAGCAAAACACAAAACACACTCTCATTCTTACGTATGACATATTGTTGTCATATTTTTCAGTTGAAAAAACTTTATATTTTTCTTTGCTATTAAATGAAAGCACTTTTTTGTATTTTGTCAGATGTCTTGTGTGAACACATATTTATTCTTAATTTTCTTTTTCAGTTCATTTGACGGAAAATTTTGATTCTCATAACAATAATGCAAAAATAAATGGAAATCTTTACAATTTAAAACTTTATAATAAATTATTAAACAAATGTCTAATATGTCCATAAAATTATAAAAATGCATGCCTTAACTTATTTGTTGTTATAATTAATATAATAATGTTTAGTAAATCATTGATCATTTTAATATAAATATAGTAATCGTAGGTAAACGTCACTTCACTGATAATGATGGTCCATCATTGATGGGTGGCTTTGCCTTATATTCCCGCTCCATATTCACTGAACATACATACTGTAGTATGTAATAATGTATTATTTTATGAATGTATTTATCGTCAACTTTTTTCGGTGCCATAAATCGTGTGATAAGAAGTGGCTGTCATTCCGTATATTTAGTCCATTGTCTCCCCCTTTAATTCTTACTCAAAATATAGTATCCCATAAATTCTACCCAAAAAGTAACATTCATTTGTATAATTAAATCACACAAAAATTCATTAATAGTAATTATGAATTAATTTATATATGTTTTCTCTGCTATTTTTATTTTTATAATTTTAAACACAAGAAAGTTGATTGTCATTTGAAAACAATAATTATATGCATTTTAGTTGCAATTATACATACCGTCCAAATATAAAATATGCATATTTTAGGAATAATATAAAATTTATTAAAATTTTGTTTTCTATCATTTCATTTTACGGTTGCCGTACACAAAGAGAGCGAACGAAAGGGTATTCACGAGTCGATGGGTTACCACAAGTCAGCCCCTCGTGAGCTCCTCTATCAGGAAACCCTTATGGAAGGCGATCTCACTCTTCAGGTAAACCCAAATACGGCACCGAAAAAATTATTGTTGATTTTTGTGATCACAAAACAACTGCTTTTTATTATATTGTAATACCGGTTGAGTTTCAACAGAATATCGATCTGTTTTCTCTGCTAATATGGAGAGAAAAAATGGTATTTTATTTGAAACTAAACTAATATTCTTGTGTACAGAGAGTGTACTGCCCTTACATTCAGTCATACATTTATTCATTCTCATAGACTTCTCTCAGACTATATTTTGATACTAAATATTGACTTTTTTCATACGATATTCACTTGAATGAAGTGAAAGTCAATAATAATAATGTAATATACTTTTGATGTCTATTAGAATAATTGAATATATGATTGCAAATGAGTGCTACAAATGGTTAACTCTTATATAATGCTCTTATTATAAAGTGTTTATTCAATTCATCGTATAATTTGAATGCCATTTACAGGAAATTTCTTTGTTTCCATAGATATAAAGAAACATTTCTCTCGTTTAATACCCTCTGATAATAACGAAATGTCTATTTTTGTTATACAGTTATTACATAATTTTGTTTTTGTGAAAAAATGAGCATAATTTTTAACAATGAAAATACGAGTCGACTCCCAATTTGATGGCTTATTGTGATTGAATCGGCGATAAAACGGAAGTCAAGTTGTTTTGCGTTCAAAATGTATAGAAATATATAAAATTAATTCTCTCTAAAATTCTGCCCACTTTTTAGTCTCCAATGAATAGTTTCACTCAAACAATGTTATTGTAATTCTCCTAAACATTATTACACACTATATAACAACACAATTGCTATACAAAAGCGTTCTCTCTATTATAATAAAGTATAATAAGTGATATTACTGTAGGCGAGAGAGAGAGAGAGAGAGAGAGAGAGAGAGAGAATGTTATAGTAATAGTTTGACTGATATTACAGTATATGTGCTGACCTTAACAATTGTCGCACTCAGTCGGTCACGCATAACAAGTTTGAGCCGAAATCCGTTTCAAATACTTAATGAATATCACATCAATTCATACATCAGTCCTCTCGCCGTCTTTTCTGGCGCTAACTCTCACTTCTTGTCCATATTTTGTACTTATTTCTCATTTACAACTCACTATCAATTCCACGCCTCTCTCTCTCTCTCTCTCGCCTACAGTAATATCACTTATTATACTTTATTATAATAGAGGGAACGCTTTTGTATTGTCAGCACATATACTGTAATATCAGTCAAACTATTACTATAACATTCTCTCTCTCTCTATCACTCGATTAGTATTTAATGACTCTTTATTTTGACGACAATATAAAAGAAACAGAAAACTTTTTTTCATGGTTTCGCTGTAAATAACGATTGCAAACACACACTTGTTTCCGGACAGTTGTCTGTTTCGATCTGTCTCTCCCCTTATTATAGCATTCATTTGTCTCTCCTTTCGCTGGTATTGATGTATAATACGTTGTCTACTCCGGTGTCCACTGTCTGTCAGTGGGGAACTCCTACCGGCGCTGATGACTGTGTTTGTGTCGGCACTTAACGTTAATTCCCATTAATTGTGTGGTCGACCGATGAAAGCATATAATTTTCATCGCAAATGATCTAAATATACACCGAATATACTGTATGTGCGGAATATTAGTATTGATTTCTATACCTTTTTCGTTGCCTTTTATTCAGTGTTCAAAGGGATCGCAAAAATGTGTATTAAATTACAGGCAAAATGTGTTCGTGCGATGAATACTAAATATTGTATTTAATAACACTTGTCTCGTAATTGTCCGCAAAAAGAGTGAAATACAAATCACACAAAAAATAACAGATCGTAACATAAAAAACAATTGAATATTTCAAACGAAATATAACTTTTAAACATGTATTGCATTAGTTAATGGATTATTAAAATATAATTATATAATTTTGTTAATGATTTGCCGATTGCAATGAAAACAATGCAAAACAAAACTAAAGGCAGCGTTGAATATGTAACTCAATTTGTTAGATTTAATTCACATACAATTCATTTGCTGTTATATTACTGTTGAAAATTAGTTTCTTTGGTTTGAAAAACACGTAAATTACTTGAAAATATTTCTCAAATATTTGAAGAAAATAGGAAAGAGAAGAGAGTAATGTGAGTGAGTGAGTGAGTGAGAGAGAGAGAGAGAGAGAGAGAAAGAGAGGGAGAGAACAGAGAGTACCGACAAAGTTATCACATTCTTTCAATTTATTGAGAAAACAATTTTTCTCTCTTTTATTTAGTTTTCTTATACTATATATACATTTCTTTAAAATCGTTATTTAAATTATAGCCCAATTTATTTTAGAAAATAACAAAACAAAAAATTAGGGGAGAAGTCAAATTTATATATTTTTTGAGAAACAATTTTAATATACAATGTATTAGTTTTATATTGAGTATTAATGCAAAGGAAAATCTAACCATAAATTTTGATCAATTTCTAAACCAATTGATAGATCATTAGTCCATTAATTTCAATGTTATTAACGTTTGATGTATTTATTCTTAAAATATTTTTTGCTTCATTTATTCATTTATGAATCTTTGATTAGTTTTATAGGTGTGTCCATCGAGTCCTCTATCGATAGCTTTTATATGATATTTAATGCCTTTATTGCCATAATTTATATTTTCAATTTCTATTTTCAAAATAAAATAATCAATTTTTACTTTCATAACATTAAGGGGAGAGAGAGAGAGAGAGAGAGAGAGAGAGAGAGAG